GGGGGGGGGGGGGGATACCGGTCGGTTGCAAGAGCGGTGGACGAGAGTAATTAGCGTACTGATTACTGGTCGGATATTAGTATTCCCTCGTCGCCGCACGCTAATAGAAAGTTATTCCATCGACGTTATAAGTGGCGGTTTGTGTAACGCGCGTCTCATTTTGATCCGCGCAATTATGGCTATCATGCGATTAACTGTGCCGTTTTAATGCTATTTCCCCGAGATTAAATCGCCAATACAATCAAATCTCGCGGCGCGCTCATTTACAGAAATCTACATTCCACGTACGAAACGCGAAATTGCGGTCGACGGGCGAACCCTTCCTCCCTCGCCCCCTCCTTCCCATCGCCGGCACACGGCGATAATTATTTTAACGTCGCGACGCGGATAACGAGTCGGCTCGACGTAGAATTTCCGGTGTACAAAAAATGAAAGAAGAGACAAAGAAAAAAAAAACGAAAATAAAAGCGGAACGGAGTAACACAAAGAGACGGAATTTCCATTTGAATGCGGGGATAGCGTTCTCCGGAGTTCAGCGTTTCGGAAAGGTCGCGCACGTGTCCTCCAGTTTCTGCATTTCGAAAGGTTACTCGATCCGAACGAGCGAACGATGAGTCGTTAGGAATAATTTCGTGCAGCATGAACGACGGAACATTGTTCGACAAGCGAATTCCAAACGACGACGCAAGACCGGATTCTTCATACCGAATGCACACGCAGCCTTGCCTCTGTCCTCTCGCGATATAAATAAATAATGGACAAAGGTCGCTTTCTCTGGCCGTGTGTGTAATAAATTGCTCACGCGCACGTATACGCGGCGTAGATTGCATCGATAACAAATATTTAGAGAGGCGGTCGCGAGTTCTCATCGAAGCCGATAAATCGCGCGGCACGGTATAGAACGGCTTTAATTCGACCCGTGAGGAAAAAATTCCCCAAGGGGTTGCGCGTTCATTCATCGAGCGGCATAATCTTGAGGGCTGCAATCAATCGATTTTCAACCAGGCTTACTACCGTGTGGTAATAGGAAGGAAATGTAACGAAATCTCGCTTGTTTTATTTTTGGCGCGAAATCGTTGTAATTTTTATTTAAGATACATGGAGAAATTATTGCAGTAAAAATTATTACAAAGGTTTGTAATGCTGGAATACACCGGATTTATTATCGAAATTATTATGTGTGTTGCGATCTTTAGTGACGTATATTATGCGTACATATCACGAAAAATTATTATAATAATTTAATATTAAATCATAGTAATTTCGATATATCTCAGCATTTCAAATTTGGTACTAATTTTTATTATAATATTTTCTGCACAGAGAAAATGCATGTATAGCGTATAAGTGATTATCGAAACTACATAGTCAAGTTTTTTTTAAATTAAAAACGATCTATTAAAATTTGGAGTTATTTTAACAAGAAGGATATGTAAAAATATACAAATATGTGTTAAAAAGTACTCATATTTATTTTATACGTTATGCAAATTTATTTTACGCACATTTATTTATTATTATATTTGTGTGCTTTTTAACACATTCGCTATGTTCCAGCAACGGAAAATTTCAGTGGACCGTTTTTAACATAAAATTTTTTACTGTATAAATGTAAATGCTTACGGGTTGCTTGCTTCTCGTGATATTGTTGACATTTTTCGGCTGTGTCTCGTAACCGCCATTGTGCTGTAATCAAAAATAAAGAACACTTTTTAGTCCACATCTCTATACGCTGAATAATATATAGTGATAAATTGAGTCTAACGATTTAAGTAATCGCGAATAATGCAAAGCAGATCCTCTTTGCTCCATTTGTGTTAAGTATTAAAATACATAAATATTAACAATAAAATTTTTGCTAATTATCTTCGTTAATGACAAAAAGATCCAATTGTTTTGTAAAATAATGTCGTAATAATATTATCTTGCGCTCAAATAAAGTAGCAATGTGGTTGTCTTATTAACTTTCTCTCCGGTGTGTAGAAAACACTGTTACTCTCTTCGCTACTTGGGCGTTGTCCCAAGAGAGGTAGGTGACATTATTGTTCATTGTTTCGAAATTAATGATATACGCTCTAAGTTGTTTCTATTGTTGCTCCAGAGAAAAATTATGCAACGACAGGTGCTGCAACAGCAGCACTGCGTTCAATACTCGCGTGAAAAGAAATGAAAAAAAAAACAAGTTGCACCATCGGCATTGAAGCAAACCACCCAAAGCCTATTAAACGTTTTATATTGGATGGTCGTACTGTATATACTGCGCATACATCGCACACATACACACGTGTATATGTATACATACACCCACACACGCACGCAGTTATAGGAAAAAGAATAAACCTGTCCAGATTTAAAGAGAAAACCGTTCTATCGCGGCGATATCATAAAAAAGCTAAAATTGAAAGCTCACTCGATTTCATCGAGACTTCCATATTTACAGAATTCCGATTAATATCATTCGAAAGGTAAAACCGCACGATATTCAGCTCCCCGTGGTCGATCAATTAGATTTTAGCCAAGGGAACACTTTACTACGATATCGTCGGCGAATCTACAGACAAAACGCTGTAAAAACGTCTGCAAAAAGTTTGCAATTTATTCCGGTGTATCGGGGACGACTGTGTAAAGACATCATATTAATTGCGTGCACGCACGCGCGATTCCGACGCACCTCGCTCTCTATATGGAGGGCAGTGTGCCAGACGGTAAAGGCGATGCGATGTAGAAGCGTCTCCGTCTCCTCCCGCAACGGCGTTTCGCCCTTAAAATTGTTGTTCGCGGTGTCCTGCCGAGCGTCGCCGCAGCGGCAGCAATTCGCTCGCAGCCAGGCGCGTGAGAGCGAGTTGCTGTTCGAGCTCGTCATCGATGCGCAAGATCGTATTCCAGGCTTTTACGCAATTCGCAATTTCCATATATTATCTTTAAACAATCGACGGAATCGTCGTCGAAGCAGTCGGACGTACCGACCACGACGACAGTAACGTGAACGATACGCGATATCGATCATCGACGAATCACCGACGAGTCACCGGCTCGTCGAGCATCTCTCGAATATCTCTCTTCGAATATCTTCATCTTGATCTTTCTTTCGCAATATCTTTTTCTTATCCGGACGACAGTCATGCCGAGTGAAATAATAACTACGCTGCCGATTCCGGTGAGGTCTGCGACGTCTGGCGCGAGGAATCGTAAATCGTACCCCACGAAAACGTCGCCGTCGTTCATAAAAAAAGAACCGTATTCAATGAAAGCTGGGAAGGGACGACCGGCTCGGTTTATTATTGCTGCGGATCTTTCCGCTCTCGCGTGTGATTTCTAATCTTAATTGCCGGCAATAGAGGATCCCAGACGTCTGTAGCCACGTGTGCCGACGCGACGCGCGCCACGCTTGCTTCGCGACGGGCACCGCCTCTTCGTCTCTCTCCTTTTTCCCAGTGCGAACATCCCGACGCGTTGCCAAATGCGTTTCCTCGATACGCGGATCATCGATACGTTGCGCCCGGGTCAAGTATCGTGAAAACGCAATTCCCTCCTCTCGTCGCCGCGGGTGAGCCGAAACACTCGACCCTTATTGCATCGAGATCGGATAGTATTATCGTTATCGAACTTTTATTTGAGCTATTTGAGCATTTTCCTATCGTGTATCGCATATAGTTCGTATATACGTATATGCGTCGAGCAGATGGAATTTTCGTCCACTACGAATTGTACTTAACGTAGTAAGGAAGTTTGCCATTGAGCCTCGAAAACTTTTCAAGAGATTTCTTATCGTGGATCTATCTCCTTCTCTTTCTCTCTGTCGTACAAGATTATATAACAGTGCAATATATATAACAAATATATATATATTTTTTTAGAGATCTGTGAATATATTATTATGTATCAATTTCGACGTTAACGTAGAACGCGGATTTTTCTTCCTTGTCTCAGTTCTCGCACATCCGGCCTCCAGCTTCCGCTTCCCGGTTGCATCGTCACTCACCTCGGCAAACATTCGCATATTGCTTTTTCCTCTCCCTTATCGCGAATTTCATCGCACCTCTATGCCTCACGATATTCCCTACTTGAATCGCGCTTATCGGCCCGATACTCGAACAAACAAACAGCAACCGTGAAACGCACTTGCCACGACGACGCGTCGCAGATAACCTTCAAAGCGCCGCACGCAACCACGCCGCATGATCCGCTCCCGCGATCTCACCCTCTCGAGCGCCAATCAATCCACCTGCCGCGGCTCCGGTTTGCAGGTGTGCGCTCAAGGTCACTCGTGTTTCAAGGTACGCACCCTCTCCCGTAGTCACGCTCGATTCATCGAGCCTACCTCACACAGGCGAGCCACCTCTCGCGGCTCGGCTCGATCGACTATCGTTCGCGGCTCTCTTCTCGAGCGGAGTTATCGACGTCGAGAGGCACGATGACGACGTGTTTAAAACGAGATCGAGATAGGATTTCACGCAGCGAGATCACGCGACCTGGGTCAACCGGAGCGAACGTCTGCGCCGCACGGGAGCCGCCCCGGCGCTGCGGGTACAGAGGGTTGAAGGCCTGCATCTCTCTCTCCCCCGGCGGCCGGGATGGTTCACGGCGGGGTGGCACGGGGTGAGAGAACTCGACACGTAACCATGGCGACGCCGTAGACGGCGTTACGGCGTTACACGCAGGCCCGATCCTGCGCCGCGCGAGCAGGATCTTCGCCGCGAGCGCGCGAGAGCTTCCGGTGAGCCGCGCAAGCCGGCGAGGGTATAAGGACACCTTCGAGTGGCTGAAGCGCCACTCCCTTGAAATATAATTAGGCCACGTCGCCTCGTGTGGAATTTATCTCAGCAAACGGCTCTCCTCGAAATTTCCCCTCGGCCGGGAGCGAAGCCGGCTGCGGGTGGTTGCTGGTGGTTTTCAGCTGGACGTCCAAATGAGACTTTGATGATGCGGGCTGCGGTATTTGTCTTAACGTTTGGGCCGCCGTTCACATCCTAATGTAGGCGGCGACGTGCCGATAGTTACGCGAGCGCTTCAGAAATGGCCTTGGAGCTTTGTGTTGTCCCGGTGATATCTCGTTTGTTTAATTTCTTCTACGAATAATTAGTACGACTTTTTTGTTTCAATTAAAATAATGGGTGAAATTTCCTTACAGAAGATGAGAAAGTAATGCTCCCCCCTCTCTATCTATACATATATATATATATATACAGAATGTCCCAGATTAATAGGGACAAACTTCGTAAGGGCGTAAAAGGTGAACAAAAAAGTCCTGTTTTTTGCAAATAATAAGCAAAATTTCGAGTTATTAATGATTGAAAATGGCCATATATAGAGGCTTCATTAATTAATAACCAAAAAGTTTGCGGGTTATTTGTAAAATGATACGGGACTTTTTTGTTCAGAATGATCTAATCTACAAGTATGTGCTCTCATACATAGTACAAGACAAAGTACATGACAGATATCAGTATATTGAACCTTAAATTTCGAAATTTAAATCTGTCGCTAGATGCAATAGAGGTTTTTTGGTCACCTCAATCCGTTCTATCTCAATAAGTTTGTCCATGTTGGATCTTGGATATCCAGTATACATCCTTAATTTCATTTTCCTTTATTTGAAGAAGATTGTGGAACTTTTCAAACTGAACATAGTAACTTTCAATTTCTCATATAATGAAGAATAAAGAAAATGTAATAAAGTAAAATAAAATAAAGAAAAAAAAATCTAAAAATCTATATATATTCTATATATATATATATATATATAGATTTTTTTTTCTTTATTTTATTTTACTTTATTACATTTTCTTTNGGGGGGGGGGGGAAATTTTATTTGTTATCTTAACTGACAAAAAGTTAGAAGTATCTTATATTCGGTTTGCAAAGCTTAACTCTTTCTCAAACGACGTGATCGTTACGTTAGTTCACGTTTCTGCTTACGTGTCTGCGCGGTAGCATCGCTAATAAGGAAAAGCACCATCGAGTGGGTCACGAGTGTGCCACTCCCTCGGAATACAATTAGGCCACGTTGTGATATACACGCAATTTCTCCAATGACATTTACTTTGTACATACATCTAAATTTTGCGAGTAACGTGAGAGCGAGCGGGCGAGCGCACGCTTGAACTTGCTAATTCACAATCTGGCATGAGAATGAGATTTGCGCCGCGGCGTTTAATGCGATTTTTACTTCAGGAAACGAAATATCCTTGCGAAAACGTGTCGTGACACGCGCGGAATGATTTCGCATAGTTGACATACCGCTCCCATCTGATCTAATTAGGTCAAGCTTTTACGTTAAAGTACGTTAAAGCTTTTACGTTATAATAGCGTGTAGAATCGATCTCAACAATACTTCACGCGCGCCCCTACGCTTTTTTCTCCCACGGCCGTTACACTTGATATCTAACTCGTTTGCAGACCTTGACAGTAATTACACAGTTAATTAGCACGCGCGAGTCAGGTCGCATGTTGGTTTTCTTATTCGGCTTTTCATCGTATGCGCGAAAATTAAAAATATTCTCTGACTTCTACTAGACTATAGCAGAAGTAATTATTTCTCGAATTTTTATTATACACAGAAAACCACCATTGAATATGCAACAAGTCGATATAGGTTTTTATTGATGCTACAGTACGGGCTCTGCTGCTACGCTGGATTGAAACGTTGAATTTTAAATTTTACTTTGCGACAATTTACATAGAGG